ACGTGGACGTGAAGGCGGCCTTCGGTGGTTTGGAGCTTCAAGTTGGTGACGGATGGGTAAAATTGGATGTCCTGCAGACTGTCTCTGATAGCTTCGTAGATCTTGGAACTTTTGTCACGTTGAGACTTGGTGTGGAGCAAGTCCATCTCGAGAGAGTTGTCCGGGGCATTGCGATAGTCGAGAGATATGGTTACTCTACGCCAGTGGGTTGGAGTTTCTCGGTACGTGACGAAAAACTTCTCTCTCTTGGACTTGTCCCGAAAGTGCATGCTAAGGTTGAGAATCCAAACATTTTCGAGCTCATCGTGAATCATAGCCTCGTAGTGAGATTGAGATGTTGTTACTGAGTGGGCGTCTGAATTTGATTGCACCTCATGCGCATGGGATTCGTCTGTCGTGGGTTCTGCTGCAACTTGGGATACCATCTGACCAAGACTAACTTCGGCCTTTTCCTCGACAGGGCTGACGGGGGCAGATGGGGCAGACTGGACCTCGTACGCATTTTCGAAAAAATCCGGGGCGCTAGCTCGGGGAAAGGACTGCGTCTGTGACGCCGTACGTGACGATTGCACGCGTCTGTCCACCGATAGAGCACGCCTCTCTGCCGGTGAGGGTTCAACTGCTGCGAGATTGTTCCTGCGCTCCGACTGTTGGCGTTTGAAGGTCTGCACGCGAGGGAGTCCGGGCACGACTTTCCTCGAGACTCGACGCACCAGGCCAGTACTTTGCTGGTCGTCGGAGTCGGGGTCAAGCTCGGGGTCGGGCTCGGGCTCCCTGGTCTGGAGCGGGCCGACGGATGCCGGGGCCGCATTGTTTCGTCCGAAGAGTTTACGAAGAAAGCTGGTGGACTGATGGCCCGATGAAGGCGGCGGCTCTGTAGAAGACATGTTTGGTTGCGCCATGATGAGTTGAGTGAGGTGTACAGCTCGCCAACTCCGTTGGACTTTGAAGGTCGTCAAGGTGAACCGGTCAGGACGCTGACGGTGTGAGGTGAGGCTCTAAGCGGTGTGGTTCTCGGGGCGAGGTGTTAATTATGGATAGTCCCGCAAACCTGGTCCGGGAGCGAACCAGGCGGGTGACAAGGGTGAGCCTTGAAGCGAAAGACGGTCAACCTCCAGCCTGGTTTTGACCGGGCTTGGTGCCAGGTCGGAGCTAAATTGGGCTGGCAGCGGCTGGGATGTGTCCGGGCGCGGGGAACGCGAGACAAGAATGACGGCGGGCGTCGTTTGTGGACGTTGAATAGTTGCAGTTCAAGCGTGACGGAGTAGATGCAGGCAACCGTAGGCAAGATGGGACATCAGACGCTGTGGCGAGATAGGATGGAAACGTGCAGAGAAGCAAGGGCGAAGATGACCATGTTCAGACGAGAATGACGGTGGCGGGGGTCGAGGAATTGGCCGGCACTCGACGGGCCTTTTGGAGGAATCTCGAACCCCCAAATCAAGACGTCGTCGATGGTTGAATGGTGTGCGTATCCTTAGTAGAAGCTAGATGCGGCGCATGTGCTTGTTCGTCCGGGGTTGTTCGAAAGAGAGTTTTGGCGAGTCCGAAGCACTGAATAAGCTCGGATGGGCTCACTTTGGATGGCAGTGAAGCAAGTGAGGGCGGCAATAAATCGTCTAAACGTCTGCACGTCTGCATATGCTTTGCTTCTTCTTAGTTTCTCAGCGATGAAGGCGATGACTTTGGCGAGCGATGTGATTCGTTTGGGCCAAGGCGGGGTGGCAGTGTAGCCTGCGGGAGTAGAGCTGTGGTGTTTGATCGCTCTGCGGCTGGGCTGATGAAGGATGTACGAATAGGTAGCGTCAGAAGGGGTAAGATGACGGAGGACGACGTCGACGTAGGGACAGATAGGCGAGCGGGAGAAATATGTATTGATTGACGAGAATGGTGGATGGGTATCTGTAGACGTATACCGTTGAAGTCGGGTCTGGATACGTATGGCTGGGTTCGCGTTGACCAGACGTGCGTCGTGAGCAGCTGGGCGGCGGCAGTGTTGGTGGTGGTTGATGGTGGTTGGTAGGCACGCAGGCTTGATGAGGTGAGGCGAACGTTGGACTTGCAATGATTTGTATGGAAATCGGGCGGCAAGAAGATGACCGGGGGCTTCCGAGAAGAGGAAGAGGGGGAGGGGCACCGTTGACGGTTGCCGTGGACACAATTGAGGTCGTGGGGTCGTTCAGCGGCTGCGTCTTTTGCAGTTTTCCTTTTTCCCTCTCTCTCCCTCTCTGTTTAGGGTACTGTGCAAGGTACGAAGTCGAATCTGCAAAGAGGAGCTGTAAGGTATCCATAGTAGTGCAAGCGCATGCAGGAGAAGCGCGCGAAAGTGAGCAGGGCCGTTGCGAGCCTGCGAGAACAATATTGGGTCCCACCAGGTCGTGTTTCTGGTTTGCTGCGACTCTAATGAGAGGTTGGGAGGCTGGGCACCGGGTGAGCCCTTGTCAAGCTCCCTAGAAAGGCCGGTTGGAGGAGCGGGAGTCCTAGTGGCGCTCTTCAGATACGGTAAGTACTCCGTAGGATGTACGAATATGTGCTCTTGAAGGCACGAGTCACTGCCTAAGGTAGGTAGGTATTGAAAGTCTTCCATAAGGTAAGGTAGGGAGAAGAAAAAGACGTGGCCAGTGATAGTGAAGAGTCTAAAATGTCGACGGCTGACGGGAAAGGGCCTATGAGCGGACGCTAAGGCGCTTGATGTTGTGACTGAGTGACAACCCACCAACAATGCGGGAGATGCATGTATCTCGTACCTCACTTTTCTAGGTACCCTACGAAGTACTAGGTACTGGGTACTTTACCGAGTCGGCAACTTCCTCAACTTCCATGGTAGCCGAGCACTGCAAAGCAGTTTCAAGGCTTCTTTCCTTCTGGAATTGCTCCTTCTTCTTTTCACTCCCTCGTGTCTGTTGGCTCTTTCCTCGAAGGCATGTTTAGATGGAAGGTACGTACGGAGAGTTACCTTGAGGAAGTATACCTTCCATACCAAGTAGGTAACCGTACCTTCCCAGACAAAGATGGAGGGTCGCGCTACTAAGGCGGGAGGGCACACTCCTGGCGGGGAGGCTTGGCCATTTCTGGAAGAGGCGGGTGGGACTTTCCCAACTCTGATGCGCTGGCTGTCCCGATATTTCCACTTGGGCGTCAAACGCCGTTGATTTGGAGCTGACGAGACTTTTACTTACCACCTTAGGGGCTTAGAAATGGGGGGGCCTTTCTCTCCCGTTGGCAAACGTGCCGCTTTAGAATCGACGTTGCCTTCCAAGTGCCTGTCTTAGGTTGATTCAGACGTGTCGTGAACCCTCCATGGTTCCTGGCCCCATGTCATGCCAAGGCAGGGAGTACGAATACAACACTTTGACGTCCATCCTTCTTCCATCCGTCTTCCATCATCGTCACTTCATCCTTTCTCTGAGTACGCATATCTCATCCACAGACAAAGTCAAGGCGAGCTGAGACCGGGACCGCGGAATCCAGAGCGACAACTCAGCTGCAGCCCGAGGCTGCCCTCCTTCACGAACTCTTCCCCATGCTGCTCCTCTTAGCGCATCTCGTCTCATGTACGATGACCTCCTAATCCAGCCCTCCTCTGGCGATTGGATCCCGACTTATGATTCTGTGGGCGTTGGGTTCGTTGGGCTCGCATCCAGGCCCTTTCTTTCAGACCTGCAAACATCCACATCGTCACTGGGGACTGCAGTCCTCCAGAACCCCCAATCAATTGGCCTCGCATTCAATCATCCATCTACGGATATTGACCGCCCTTTGCTTTCCATACTCGACCCACAACTTGATATAGGAAAATATCATGGCACTCATGGGTACGGAGTACGGCACTACGCATACTGTCACCATTTGAAGATCAGATACGCCCAGCAATTTCGATGATACGATCGGTGCCGCTAAGGCCAGGGCCCAGGAGGGCATGTCATAATGGACCCCCGAAATGCTTTACACCTTGCTCAATTGATGAGTCAATCGCTCAAGGGCTGCCCATCTTACAGATCCGATCAGGGGGTCTGGCCGATTTCGCTTCTTCGCGCAAGCCAAAGATAGCTCGACTCCAGGACGACAACAGGTCGGATCCGAAAACTACTATCCTGACCAATGCTTCCATTCAATGGGTCATACGGGCTATTTTGATCCGATATCTCCAATGAACGATGGCTCAATGGGAAGCTCTTCGCTTACCCACCTGCACCAAAGATTCCATTATTGCGCAATCTCGCAATTGATGCATCTTCTCCATCCTGTTGCGTCGAACCGCGTCGGACCATCCCCCTCAAAGCATCAAGCAGGACGACTTACCCACGTGCTCGTCGCTCCTCTGCGTCAAGGCCACCTGCTGCACGACCCAGCATCTTCATTCGCAGTCCGGAGACCAGCGCATCACCAATCAACGATGCCGGACAAACTTTCAACCTCCACTGCCTCACACTACATGTACTTTTTGCTATGTGGCACAGCATAAAGTGAGACTACTACAGACGATGGAACCGCAGCATGGCACTGTGATGCATGCAAACATGGACGAACGAACGGACTGGTCCGGCGTCATTCAGCATAACCCTGTACAAGTCGGTTGCAGTACCACCATCTCACCAAGAATTCAGAGCTCATGGAGACGAACCAACGATGGCGGCCTATCTCGGAGCCGATGATGCGTTTGAGGGAGCTTACGGAGACCATAACAATAAAAGTGTCGGATGGCCTCGGGTATCTGCACTGTCTGTTGGCTAACATCAGCGGCCGGGTCAGGGGTGCGTCTTCCACACGCTGCGTGCATTTAGGCATCGACGCAGCCCAAATAATGAGGCTGTATTGTTATTGACAGGCTGGCAAACTGTCCCATGGGACGGCTTGTATTTCTCGTCAAGCGCACGCTGACATCAAGGTGTTCAACTTGGCAGACGTCTGCTCGATATATGCTCTCTTCGAGTAACTACGTGGGAGTTCCTGGAAGCCCGAATGCTGACGCCTATGTCGTTGCAAGCTCACCCGCCATCCTGTTCGCTACTCCAAGCGCCAGGAGCAGGCATAGCCATGCTTCATCAAGCGCCGCATCTCAACCGACCTGGAGATCTCCCGTGTCCGGTGCACTGAATAGCCGGCTTTCGGGACGAACGATCGATGATCAGTGGCGAGAACGAAAGGGTAGAATATAATACAAGGGTCGTGTCGTTTGCCCTCTTGACACTCACACATCCCAGCCAGTCTGGATGTCATCCCGCGAACCCCACCGATCCCGCGTGGACAGATGGGCGTGGCACACCGGGTCAGACCCTGAGCAACCCAGGAGAACCCACCCCACCTCGCTGTCAAACCGAAATGCTAAAAGGGAGCTAGAAGCGCTGTCACCAATCTGGACGACATTCGATGTCGACGCTGTCGCATCCTCTAGCTGCAACGGATTGGGCCACAATCAGGCACACAGAACATGTCACCATGACTCGGTTCTATATCGTACTGTAACCTTCATCGTATATCACAAACGCGAAGACTTGTGTCCTGAACTCCGGCAGCACGGAGACGTACGCTCCACCGTTCGATACTTCCGAGGCTACAACGCCGTCTCGCGATTGGCAACCGAAATGCGCGGCACCGCCGTCTCACCAGCACCATCGCTGCGGCCGTTGACGTACATACTACATACACGGTGGCCAGGTCGGCCGCATCTGCAAGCGACAGCGTTTCCGGCAAGCTGGTCCTCTCTTCCCTTGGCTACCGCTCCACACGTTATTGCTCGCCTCGAACGGCATCTGCGTGAGGTCACCACACCCCCCGCTCATCGGAAAACCAATCGAAGGGTAATGCTGGCACTAACGAACCGTTGCTCATGCCGCAGCGTACTCATTGGGGAGGAAACAAGCTTCGATATGTGGCTGCTCGCCGAGTGCCCATACGACGGACGGCTCACGACAAGTGGTGGTAATATACAAGAATTCGCTTACTCTGGCCTGTCCCGAAAGCTAGCTACCATACCCTATGCAAGCATCGCGCGCCCTGCTATTCCCTCACACAGCCGCCACTACCTATGCGCGAGACTGACTGCTGCGCAATCTAACCATCCTATGCAATTGGGTGTCGCTGCAACCCTAGTCTTACAAAGCCGAGTCCGGCTGTTTATTCCACCAACACCGCCTGAAAACGGCAACCAGCCAAACAATTAAAATAGAAAAATGAACCATCTAGAGTAGAGATGCGGTATCGAGAGGAGGGAGGGTTGTGTGTGTGTGTGTGTGTTGTGGTTGTTGTTGATATGCCGTAACATTTTTATGCGGGTTCGTCTAACCGTCCGGCTTTGGTTCTCCTTTTCCACCAAACTGTGTCCGTTCAGTCTGTCATCCGTCGCCCCTTGGCAATCTTTACCTTGCCAGATCCCTTCGAAGCGTCTGTAGCCCCCACAGGGCGTAGAGGATTTGGGGGTTGAGGCGCGGGGGTCAATCTTTAAGGAATTGGGGGAAACAGGATGTGTCAATGGATGGGTAACCATCTATCGCGTGAACAATATCGTGAAAAAATCTGTTTGTAGATTTTCCGCTCCTTTCTTTTCTCCCTCTCGGGGAGGCGAGTGAGAGCGGGCGATGCATCTAGTCGTCATCCTCATCGTCAGAGTCGTCCCTCTTCTTCTTCTTCTTGTCCTTCTTCTTCTTCTTGTCGTCCTGATCCTTTTTCCACTCGCACGTCTTGCACTTGTTGGCGGCCTCGCGGTCGAGTTCCGGGAAGATGAGGTCAAAGACGTCAGAGTACCACGCCACGGGCTTGCCCTCGATGCCCTCCTTGATGTTCTATAGTGTGATGTGTCAGCATTCATTCTGTGAGATCCAAGTACGCGCAGTAGTTGTAATAGATAGTAGGACGTACCTCTGGGAGCTCGAGCCAGTCGGACATGCAGTCCTTGGGGAAGATGATCATCTTGCAGCCGGCACGGCGCGCGGCGACCGTCTTCTCGCGCAGTCCGCCGATGCGGAGGACCTTGCCGGTGAGGGTGAGCTCGCCCGTCATGGCGACGGTGGGGTTGACGGGGGTGTCGAGGGCGAGGGAGAGGAGCGAGGTGGCCATGGTGATGCCGGCCGAGGGCCCGTCCTTGGAGACGGCGCCGTCCGGGACGTGCAGGTGCAGCCTCGCCTTATCGAAGAAGTGGTTGTCGGGGAAGTCCTTGACCATGAGGGATTTGGCAAACGAGTAGGCAATCGTCGTCGACTCCTTCATGACGTTCTTGAGGTTACCCGTAATCTCGAGCCCGGGGCGGCTGCTCGGTCGTAGGGGCGCCTGGAGGATGGACTCGATGTACATGGCGGCGCCGCCCATCTGGGTCCAAGCGAGACCCATGGCCACGCCGGCGGGGTTGACCTCGTAGAGGCGGTCCGAGGTGAAGACGGGGGGGCCGACGTAGTCGACGAGGTTTTCCTTACCAATGGTGACGTGGACCGTGTCGGGGACGTTGAGGGCGACGCGGGGCTTCTCGGCGGTCGGCGTCTCGGCCGGCTGCTCGCCCGTCTCGCGCGCCTCCTCGGCCTTCTTCTCCGACGCCTCGAGCGCCTCCTTGCCGTCCTCGGTCAGGGCCTCTTTCTCGGGGAGAACCTCCTCGCCGAGGTCCTGGACGATATTGAGGGCGGATTTGCGGTAGACCTTTTCGATCTGCTTCTTGAGGTTGCGGACGCCGGACTCGCGGGCGTACGACTTGATGAGCTCCTCAATGGCTTCCTCGCTGAGCGTGACGTCGGCGTTGGCCAGACCTGCGGCTTCGCGGGCGGCCGGGGCGAGGTACTTGTCAGCGATGGCCTTCTTCTCGTCGGCAACGTAGCCCGACAGCTGGATGAGCTCCATGCGGTCGAGGAGGGGTCGCGGGATGGTGTCAGTCATGTTGGCGGTGCAGACGAAGAGCACCTTGGACAGGTCGACGGGGACGTCCATGTAGTGGTCCAGGAAGGAGCTGTTCTGCTCCGGGTCGAGCAGCTCAAGCAGAGCCGATGAGGGGTCGCCTTGGTAGCCGCGGCCAATCTTGTCAATCTCGTCAATGAGAATGAGAGGGTTCTCGGTCTGGCACTTCTTGAGCGCCTGGATGATGCGACCGGGCAGGGCACCGACGTAGGTTCTGCGGTGACCCTTGATTTCAGCCACATCGGTGAGACCACCGACACTGAATCGGTAGTACTGACGGTTCAGGGCGCGGGCAATGGACTTGCCGATGGACGTCTTTCCAACACCGGGAGGGCCGACGAAGCAGATGATCTTACCCTCGACGGTACCACGCAACTTGCCAACAGCAATGAACTCCAAGATACGATCCTTGACATCCTTAAGGCCGTAGTGATCCTCATCCAGGACCGTCATGGCGTTTTGAATATTAAAGTTCTCCGCGCTGCGCTGGCCCCAGGGGATCTGCGTCAGCCAGTCCAGGTAGTTCCGCGTGACATTAAACTCGGAAGCTGCGGGCTCGAGATGGGCAAGCTTATTGATCTCGTCGTCAAACACCTTGCGCACGGCTTCAGGCATGGCCAGGTTGTTGGCCTTCTCCTTGAACTTCTCAACCAGCTTGTCCTTGCCGTCGGACTCGAGGCCCAGCTCGCGACGGATGCCCTTCATCTGCTCCATCAACCAGTACTCCCGCTGACGCTTAGTAATCTTACTCTCAACGTCCTTGGTGATCTTTGACTGGAGCTGCGCGTTCATAAGCTCCTTCTTCAAGACGATCAGCGCCTTTTGCATTCTCTCCTCCACGTTGAGACTCGACAGGACCTCTTGCAACTCGCCCTGCTCGCCGGAAGACACGGCGGCGGCGAAATCTGCAAGCTTGGCCGGCTCGGACGTCACGTTGCCAGTGGACTGGCTCATTGAGAATGTTGAGATCTGATCACGGAAAAGGCTGTTCATCGTAGCGACCTCCTTGAACACGTTGACAATCTCGTTTGTGACGGCACGGATGACAGCGCTCTTGGGGTCGTAGGGCTCTTCGGTCAAGTTCTCCACGTTGACGAGACTGACGGGGTATCTCTTGAGGAACGCGGTGGGCTCGTACTTCTCCGCCGCCTGCTCGGCCTTGGGGGCTACGGCACTCTCCTCGAAGCTGGCAACGACGTCACCCTTCTTCTCTTGTTGAGCCTCTTCATCAGTGGGCTTCGAGGGTATCGGCTCGGGCACCGGCTCGACCTTGGCTTCGCTCGGCTTCTTGTCCTCCGTTCCCGGCGGCAGCAAGCTCGAAAGGCGGATACGGCGGTGAGGGTAGAGAATAGCCGTCAGGGCGCCCTGCTCCCCATGCATGGGGAATGCACTCGTGATCTGCGCAAAGACACCGGTATCGTAGACGTCATCGACATTGCGGATAACGTCCTCGTCTTGGTTCTCGTCCTTGAACAAGAAGGCACCGACATACGGTTGGCCTCTCTTGATCATCTCGGTGATGGCCGCGGCGACGTTCGGGTCCTTGATGGTGATAGCCTTGTAGAAGCCTGGGAACAGTGGCCGCTTCGCAATCGGGATAGCGAGGACTTGGGGATAGACATCAGGCACAACGGGCTTTTGCAGGCTCTTGTCAGAGGCTCTGCGTCCGCGTCTGCCGCTGCCGTCGCCCTTATCGTCGCCGCCGCCGGATCCCGCTGACGAGCCACCGGCCGCACTACCGGCCTTGCCATCCTGTGCAGCTCCCGAGCCCTCGCCCTTGGCGGATGACTCGGAGTTAGAGCTCTTAGCCTCGGCCAACTCCTTCTCCTCGAGCTCGCGCTGGTGCTTCAGGTTCGCCTTTTGTTCCTCCTCGGATAGGGGCTCGACAGCACGATCGAAGAAGCTGTTGTCCTCCTCCTTTAGCCATCGTGTTGACGTTGAGAATGGGGCGACGGCTCGCTGGGATGGGCGGGTGGTGAGGAGAAGGCGGTCGAAGGTGGATGCGGAGCACCTCGGAGTACTCGCTACGGGTAACCTGCTACTCGAGGTCGCGTAGGGGTTTCTGAGGTAGTTTGTTGAGCGGCCGAGGGCCAGACGCCTCGGAAAGCTTGATCGCATCACCATGTTGCCGGCAGTTGGGGGAGGAAGAAGCTCCGGTCGCGGCACGTGGTGATCGGGTAATACAGGGCCGAGGGCGAATCAAGGTGTGCCGCTGTATTGTTTGAATTGTTGACAAAACAAAAGAGATTGGGGGATGCAATTGGAAGGGTTGCAGGTGTTTGTATTTGTGCAGAAGGGTGGTGAAAAGGACTCCGAGTCCTAAATCGCAATGCGCATCGCCTCCTGACGCCTTACAAATACAGAGTGTAGGTGAGTTGAGTAGGCTTTCAAGCTATTATGGAGACAGTCGGGGGGGGGGGAGACTAAAGAGTAAACGACATCACCAAAAAAATCAATGAGCACTGACGTTGCCTCCCGTGCCTGGCCACTCAGCGCACGGCGGAGGCGGGAGTTGGCTCTGGAACCAGGAAGAACTTCGGCCCCGTTTGCCGGCGGGGCAGCTTACCTAAGGAGGTCCCTTCAGGACGACGTCCCCCCCACAGATTGAACTGTGGCTAGACACAGCAGTGGTTGGTGCCGCAGCTATCCGTTGCTCTGTATTCCTTACAGATGCATCGACTTTTGGTTCGGTGAAGGGCAACCGTGTTTTGTACAATTATAACGTGCAAGTTCCGTACTTCTGTTCTGAAGATGTCTCTATCGTGTACAGTCACCTGCTTATAGTACTACCAGGTTGAGATAGTCTTATGCCGTGATGTACAGCGAAAAACACCTCAGTACGGATACATGAACCATTTGCCTGTGCCATCTCCCGCGCTGCCACAGTGCCTTCCAGACTCCCCGTCCCTCTGACTCGCTGCGGGGAAGGGGTGCCAACCCAAACCCCACAATGGGAAAGGGTTCCAAGCACAAACAGCCCATCCACGTCCCGCCATCCCGTCGTGCCCGTCTAACAGCAGTCCGTTCGCACACCTGAAAGGAGCCGAGGCCACTTCGAGTTACATCAACCTAGTATTTACCAGAACTTGTTTCCTGCTACGGATACTGTCTTCCTCCTTTCTCTCATCCTGTTTTCTCCAGGAGCTTCACACCGCACAGAAACTTGGCCATCCATTCATCAGACCCTGGTTCTGTCAAGAGTCGTCTCGACGGAGCCCTCTCAGATCTCCAGCATCACTCCAGCCGCAAGCTGCACCTCACCTTGTTGATCCTTCGTCGGCTTCGTCCAAAGACCACCGCCCCGTCGTCCACCGATCGACCTTCCCTGCTACCCGGAATTTTACCCACTCTTTACCTCGCTTCCCGACGGAACCGTACCCGGGTTCCTGGCCATCTCAACCTCCTATACTTCTCAAGCAACATTCTGTCTCTCTCACACACACACACCTCTCTCTTCTTCTACATCTTAATATCTGTCCATATATATACACATCAC